CAATCAGCAGATGCAGGTGTAGTGGGTGGCTTCTCCTATTTCCATTCACGTTCCTATACCCCTCTATCAGACTTCTCTCTTGGTATCTCCACAGAAGGAGAGGCAGTAGTGAAAAAAGGGTGGAGAGGATTTGCCTAATTCAGTGGTTCTCAAATGGGGCAAATGTTAATCCCCAAGGGACTTAGGCAATGTCTGGAGCCATTTTTGGTTTTCACAGTGGAGGTATTGCTACCATCATTTAATGGCTAGAACCTAGGGATGCCATCAAACACCCCACAAATCACAGGATAGCTCCACACAACAAAGAATGATCTGGCCCAAAATGTCAGTCAGTAAAGCTGAAGCTAAGAACCCTGAGTTACCCCAAATGAACTAGCAGGCAATAGTTAAATGCCATTTTACACAGGGACTCCCTGCCTGGCAAGACAGGTAACGAGGCTGGAGATGGAGGAGCTAGATGTCTTTTTCTAAGGAGCAGGCTCTTTGTACTGGGGCTCAGCCATCTCATTGTGGCACTGCAGCTCTCATCTCTGTGGCTGGTCTCTGGCAGTCCTCAGAACCTTAGAGAACCTGTGCCTGCCTCAGGTCAGCATAAGAGCAGAGCCGGTGGCTGACTGCCACTGGCCGTGCCAGCTCATGACGTGCCTGGTACAGACTGAGCCATGTAGACTGGGACTGCAGCCCTGGCGGAGAGCCATCTGAGACTTTGGATAGTGGTAAAGCTTCACCTCACCCATGGGTAGGTTTCTTCAGGAAGCATATTTCAGAGGATGGCTTTATTTTTTATTTACATATTTAGCAGGTACTTATGTAGAGCCTTTTATCTGCCAGGAAGTTTTAAAATCCTATCTAATAAAGAGGGAATATGCTAATTGACCCTCCCACCATCACAAAGATGGTGGTGCCCCAGAGCCAACAAGGAGGGAATATGCTGATTGACTGCTCGTCCTCAAAGATGGCCTTGCACATAGCCAATAAGGACGTAATATACTAATTGACTGCCCCGCTCTCAAAGATGGTGGTACCCACTGCCAATAAGGAGGGAATATGCTAATTGACTGCGTACCCTCAAAGATGGCAGTGCCCACAGCCACAAGATGGCGGTGCCCAGTCCCCTTAGCCCTGCTGGAGCGGCAGGTGCGCGGCAAGGCTGGGCCCACCCTGTGCGCTTGGTTCCAGAGTCCCCCAGTACCCTCAGCCTTCCAGCCACACAGGGCCAGCCAAAGCTTGCACTGCCAGCAGTGGCAGCAGCAGAGGTGTGATGGGGTGTTGCCTTTCCCTGATCACAAGGATGCCTCCCGCCCCTGAGGGTTCCCAGACTGTGAAAGGGCACAGGCCAGACTGAGGGACTTCCCCTCCAATGCATGAACTTTTATGCACCGGGCCTCTAGTATTGTATAAGTGTTAACTCATTAGACTTTCATAACTGCTTTAAGAGGCAGGGTTATTATTATCATTCCTTTACAAGTAAGAAAACAGGAGAGGAGAGTGAAGAGTCAAACCTAGGAAGTTTGACTCCAAAGAGTGGGTCCTTAACCACTGTGCCAGGGGAGGGGAATCTTTTTTCTGCCCAGGCCCATTTGGGTATTTATAACATCATTCATGGGCCATATACACTTATCAATTTAAAAATTAGCCTGCTGTATTTGGTCACACATTTATTTAACTCACCTCTGAGTTACCTCTGTAACCACAAACACATTACTTCATATTTGTGAACCTCAGTTTTCTCATCTATAAAATAAAGTCATACCTGTCTCATGGAGAATATGGACATATTATGGAATTTCATATCATCCTACCTAATAAAAGAGTAATATGCAAATTAACCATCACTCCACTACACCCACAAGCCACGCCCACCAGCTAATCAGAGCGAGTATGCAATTACTGGTAACCCAACCAAGATGGCTACAGCCACAGAGAGCAGGAGGGAGGCTTGGGTTTCCCAGGCAATGGAAAAAGCCAACCTTTCTGCCTGCCCCTGCCAGCCTAAACCTCCACTCAAGACTACAAAGTTTCAATTATAGAAGGTAAACAAATCCAAGCAGAAATGGTGGCAGCCATGGAGCTGGAAAGAGCAGGAGGCTAGGGTTACCCTGGCAATGGAAAAAGCAAAGCTTTCTGCACACCCTGGTCTGCCCAGGTCTCAACTCGAAGCTACAGTTTTAATTATAGAAGATACATAAGTCCCAAGAGAAATGGCTACCAGGGAGCAAGCAGGAGGCTTGGCTCCGCTCCAGGCTACAAAGTTTCAGTTGTAGAAGGTAAATAAATTCCAGATACTAGGGCCTTTGCTTGGGTCCCCAAGGGGTGTGGCTTGCCTGCAAACCACTATAGGCCCCTCATTCAGGCTGCCCCACACCCCAAGGAACCCCCACCCTGATCTGGGACATCCTTCAGGGCAAACCAGCTGACCCCCACCCATACACCAGGCCTCTATCCTATCTAATAAAAGAGTAATATGCAGATTGACCATCACTCCAACATTACAAGATGGCTGCCCCATGTGGTCAAAGACTCTGCCCTTATGTGAACACAAGATGACCACCACAAGATAGCCAGCAGGGGAGGGCAGTTGGGAGGCACCAGGCATGTAAGGGAGGGCAGTTAGAGGTGACCAGGCTGGCAGAGGAGGGAAGTTTGGGGCAAACAGGCTGGCAGGGGAGCAGTTAGACATCAATCAGGCTGGCATGGGAGTGGTTAGGGGGTGATCAGGCTGGCAAGCAGAAGCAGTTAGGGGCAATAAGGAAGGCAGGCAGGCCAGCAGTTGGGAGCCATCAGTCCTGGATTGTGAGAGGGATGTCCGACTGCCCGTTTAGTCGGACATCCCCTGAGGGGTCCCAGATTGAAGAGGGTGCAGGCTGGGCTGAGGGACACTCCCCTTGCCCCCGTGCACAAATTTTGTGCACTGGGCCTCTAATATGTGTGTGTACACATACACATATATGTATACATGTATGTATGCATGTATGTATATGTTTGTGTGTATATATGTATATGTGCATAGCACATGGTAGGCCTTCAGAAAATGTTAGTTCTCTTCTGCCTTTCTTTGTTACAACCAAATTTTTGGCCCTATTGCTCTAATGCCATGGATAGGTTATTGCCTGCAGGTACTAGGCATACTGAAGGCAAAAATTAAGCCAGGTTGGATATTTGTTAGAATTAATGAATGAACAGACTGCTATGATCTTACCATTGTGAAGAAGTCTGATGTTTGGTTTTGGGAGAGGTGGGGAGGATGAGATTGCCCCAAGCACATAAACCAGACTTACAGAATCAAGACAGGAGCTCTCTTTCTATTTGTAGTTTTTTATCAGTTCCAGTGATGTCGTCTGTGAACCACTGAGCACACAGACTTCCACACTAATTGCATATCTGTGCCTGTGTTTTGATGAGTTTTTCTGCTGGCCTGGCAGAAGGGGATCACCTGGGTGCTTCTGGGCTGAGGCTGGTAGGCCATGCCTAGTGTTGGTGCTTTCTTCCCAGGCCAGATCAGAGCACCTGCTCAGAGTGAGTTTGCTCTGTTCCCAGCATAGTGGAAGGTAGCACCTTTTCATTTGTCTGCGTTCAGTGCTTTACCACATCTGCACCTACACTGTTCCTGTTCCATTGGCCCACTCCCATTTCATAAATGAGTCTGGATTCTGTCCACATGGATGGCATCCTGTTGTCCTTCTGGCTTTTCCACATGTAAAAGTCAGCATATCTTTCTTTGATTATGAGTTTCCAGAGGAGAAGGACTAAATTCATCTCTGTGTGTATGTGGAGAACCTCATATACCAGCTCCCCGAATGTTGATGCATGCCAGGATGACATGTCTGGAGGGCAGTATACTACTCTACCCATGGTCAGATGTGTAAGAAAGGGAGTCAGCACTTACATGGAAGTGCCATGAAGGAATATCCCTAACATCTAAGGCAGTGCCTGGCATCCAGGAGTTGTTTGATAGATAGTTCTTGAGCGAGTGAATGCCTCTGGTCTTGAAGTATTTTCCTAAATCTGTATGCCTAGAAATCCGGGAACTGTGGCTTTTATTGTTACCATATGTAACCAACAGAAATAGAGACTGCAAAAAAGTTGAGAAATACTGCAGTATAGGACACTAAAATAACACCAAACTTGACCTAGAAACTATAATACTTCAGGAACTGGCTGCCCTTAGGGATTGTCATTCTTTTTTTTTATTATTGATTTTTTTACAGAGAGAAAGGAAGAGGGATAGAGAGCTAGAAACATCGATGAGAGAGAATCATCGATCAGCTGCCTCCTGCACACCCACAACTGGGGATGTGCCCGCAACCAAGGTACATGCCCTTGACCGTAATCGAACCTGGGACCCTTCAGTCCGCAAGGCAACGCCCTATCCACTGAGCCAAACCGGTTTTGGTGGGATTGTCATTCTGTGCTCTAGTGAATCATGCTATAAGGAGGAGGAATTTCACAGAGTGCATTGGTAGGATGCTAACAAGGCGTTTTTCTCCATCAGCCCAGTGGCTAGAAATAATTTATGTTATTTATTGCCCAACTTGGGTCCTAGAACAGACCACGTTGTTTTGTGCTTTCTGATCACTTGAAGATGGTCCTGTCATCTTTAAGATATGGTATGGTAGGACAGGCCTTGGGCAGTAGTGTTTGACTCTGCTACTTCTTTTCTTTTTTGTTAATCCTCTCTCGATATTTTTCCATTGATTTTTAGAGAGGGGAAGAGAGGGAGAGAGACACACACACATATATAGATATGAGAGATATATATCAATTGGTTGCCTTTCGCACATGCCCCAACCAGGCCCAGGGATGAGCCTCAACCGAGGTACATGCCCTTGACCGAAATTGAACCTGGGACCCTTTAGTCCAAGGGCCAACACTCTATCCACTGAGCAACACTGGCCGGGCAATATTTCCTTCTTAATGTCAGAGAGAGGAAGAGAGAGCAGGTGCAGTGGACATCTATGCAGTGATCAAAGAATTTTTAAACTGTGCATTTTATTTTACAGATCTGAAGAAAACTCTCGCTGTGTTGTTGGATAATATTTTGCAGCGCATCGGCAAGTTAGAGTCGAAGGTGGACACCCTTGTCATCAATGGCACAGGAACAAATTCAACCAACTCCACCACTGCTGTTCCCAGCTTGGTAGCACTTGAGAAAATTAATGTGGCAGGTAAGAAGGGTGATTCTATAGCCTGGCATGAGTCAGATCTTGATTTGAACTGGGAAAAGAATAAGCACAGAAAATAGTCCTTTTCTATATAAGATAAATCCCTTGGTATGGCCCTTGTAAAGCTGAGATTAAATTTATTTTTGAATAACAGATGTTAAAATGCTTTTATAGTCTCATCATAACGTGTGATGTCTAGTGGTTCCTTATGACATATTTCACATAATGAGCTCCTAGAATTCACTTTTAATGCGAAGATTCATATTGTGGATAAGAAGTTATCTGGGAAGCACGTGTCAGTTAGAGGGCCTTCCTCCTCCCCATTTTCACCAGGCAATTTCAAAAATCTGTTGCATATGATAGATTCCCTCCTCCCTGTTGTTAAAGAAGAGCCACCATTGTAGAAAATAACTCTGGTGTGCATATGGAGAAATAAATTCTGGAAAACAGATGTAGGAAATACTGTAATGGCGCCTACCTGATCTTGGGTTGATTCTGTAGCCACTCATGGATGCCACCGTGCAGTTCCCATGAAGGTTCATTGTGTCTGGCCCCTTCTTGAGACTGGAATCTTGCATAAGAGAAGAGAAGTGGGTTAACCACAAACCCAGCATGTATTGTCCATAGCTCATGTTGGACCCCTATTGCTGCCCTGGGGTTGGCCTCTGGGGCTCTGTGGTTGAGCCAGGATTTGCTCTTGTTAGGGTGACATTGTCCTTTCCTAGGGACTAGGAACAAAGAAAGGAGCTGGAAGGTTAACATCGGGTGCTTTGGGTGAATGGTGTGAATACCCATTCACTACTCCTGGTGGGTGGTATCCCAACCCTAGTTAGTGGATAAAATAAGTAGCATATTCGTTGGCTTATTTCTCATTTCAGTTTAGCATACTCATTGGCTTTCATTTTCCCTTTCTTATAGAAATTCTCAGACTTAATTGGGAGAGATTCCTTTTCTTTCCCATCTCCAGTGTCAAAACATTTAATTGTTTCACATTGTGCAAGCTTGTCGTATTACCTGTTTGTTATGTTCTTCGCCCTTTCACAAGTTTTAAATTGCAGACTACATTTCTAATAATCCAAAGTATCCAATCAAACAGAGATATTAAAAATAACTTTTAATTACAACACAGAGGCAGTGTCATCTAGGCCATAAATCCTATCTCCCCTGCAGTTTCCAACAGCTTCTGTAATTAGACAAGAAAACCTCCCACTGTGTTGAGCTGCTTATTAATAAACAGCACCCTTGACTCTCCAGGCACCATTCCTCCATCCCCTCCCCATTAGGAAAGACTATAGGAAAGCTCCCATCTGATTTCATGGCAGCTCTACCTTCCCACAGTTCTGGAGGTGGGCAGGATGGGGCGTACTGCCATTGACTGCTGCCTCCCACCGCCTCTGTCTGCAGGAACTGTGTACCCATGTCTGCTGTCATTCTCTCCCCTGATCAGGGATCTTGCTGCCTCTGGCTGTCCTGTTTGTGTGCCAGGCTCTCAGAGAGACTTCTTCTGGGCCCCAGCCCCAGAGTAGAGAATGGTGGGTAGATTTCCAGCAGTGACATGAGAAGGAATTGGTGGCTACTTCTTCCCTTCCCTGAGTATTGAGCTAGTTTCAGTTATCAGATATCTCTCGAGCATAGTCCCTAAGCCATTGGCTCTGAGGGGGGCTCCTTTAGCAATACCATAGGTCCCCTGTTTTCATTAATATTTAAAGAACCAGAGACTTTTTTCTTTGAGGAAAATGGGAGGAAATTTAGAGTTATGCCTTTAATAACCTCATTCTAGCTCCTTTGTATATGTGTGTGTGTGTGTGTGTGTGTGTGTGTGTGTGTATGTGTACACATGCGATACCTTTAAAATTTTTACTGGGCAATCAGGAATATAATACATGGGCATAAAATAACACAAACTGTGGTTACTCTAAGTAGGGGTCAGTTTGGAAGGCTTCTCACAGGAAGGTAAGTTTTAAAGGCAGGTAAAATTGAGTCATAGGGGCCTCATGGAGGAGAAACAGACTAGAAATGGGCTGTGACTCAGAAAGAAACTTGGAAGGAAAGAGAAGAAACTAACATGGAACATCCACCCACTAATACCAGTTATTGTTCCTGACTCTTGGAGGGAAATCTATATATATAAAGAAACAGGATCTGTAATGTCCAAAGCGAATGAACAGATGACCAAACACCAGAAGTCAGTCCTGCAGTCAGTACTGGGTTGCTGTGGCCATACAGCACTGACTGCCATGCTTCAGGCACTGCAGCGACCCAGCACTGATTGCTGAGGGAGCTGCGGATAAGGCCCAGAGAGAGGCTCAGAGAGAGAATCAGGGTCTGATCTGCAGCCCCTGTGGCAGTCAGTGCTGGGTTGGTGCTGCAGAAAGCAGTCCTGCAGGCGTGGCAACCTAGCACTGACTGCTGAGGAGGCTGCGGATGAGGCCCATAGAGAGGCCAGGAGAGAGAAGCATGGTCTGATCTGCAGCCTCTGTGGCAGCTGCTGATGAGCCTCACCTCTCCTATCAGGCCCAGAGATAGGCCTGGAAACATTGACTGGCATAGAAACTGCCCAATCAGAACCAAATCCGGGTGATCTGCGAGGAGCCAATGGCTGCCTTGGTGGTGGGGCTTTTGATGCTGACTGGTATAGAAACCAACCAGTCAGAACCTAATCTGGGTGAACTGCAAAGGCAGAACCTAAGGTGGGGCTGAGGAGGGGTTTTAAGGGCAATAGCTATTTGGTGTAAGGTGTAAGAAAGTGGTTCAATTTGACCGGTTTGGCAGTATAGTGCATATGGCTGGCTATCAGTCCAGATATAGAAATTATGTATTTTTGTCTGCCAATAGCATCTCCTCATTCTTAAACCCCCTCCTCCCCTCATTTAAGCAATCCTATCCTATATAATCTATCTATAATAAAAGGGTAATATGCTAGTTAGACTAGGTCTACTGGTCATCTTCCAGATGTCCAACTTCCTTCAGACAAAGCCATGATGGTGGGGGCCAAGGCCAAGGCAGAGGCAGTTAGGAGTTATCAGGCTGGCAGGGATGGGCAGTTGGGGGTGAGATCAGGCCTAGAGGGGAGGACAGTTGGGGGGAGATCAAGCCAGCAGGGGAGGGAAATTACGGCCAATCAGGCAGACAGAGGCAGTTAGGGGAGATCATGTGGCAGGAGAGAACAGTTAGGGGCAATTTGGAAGGCAGGCAGAGGCAGTTAGGGGTGATCAGCAGGCAGGCAGGTGAGTGGTTAGGAGTCAGTGGTCCCAGATTATGGGAGGGATGTCCTATTGGAGAGGGTTCACGCTGGGCTGAGGGAACCCCCCCCCCCCCCATGCACAAATTTCATGCATCAGGCCACTAGTTTATATAATAAAAGCCTAAGTTACCATAATGGAGAATGACCAGAACAACTGGTTGCTATGATGCACACTTTGACCACCAGGGGCAGACACTGAGTGAATGCAGGAGCTGTCCCCTGGTGGTCAGTGCACTCCCACGGGGGAGTGGGCGCTCAGCCAGAAGCTGGGCTCAAGGCTGGTGAGCCCAGCAGTGCTGGTGGGAGCCTCCCCCACCTCCACAGAAGTATTAAGGAGTAGTGAGCCGAGCGGTAAGGAATGAGCAGGCAGGCAGGCAGTAAGGAGCGAGGGATCCCAGTTGGTGAGAGGGATACAAGAGGGCACAGGCTGGGCTGAGGGACCCCCAACCCCCAGTGCATGAATTTCATGCACTAGGCCTCTAGTTCTATCTAATAAAGAGGGGACATGCTAATTAACCCTCACACCATCACAAAGATGGAGGCACCCATAGCAAATAATGAGGAAATATGCTAATTGACAGCCTGCCCTAAAAAATGGCAGTGCCCACAGCCAATTAGGAGGGAATATGCTAATTGGCTGTCCTGCCCTCAAAGATGGCTGTGCCTACAGCTATGTGCCTGCCTCCGGATTCCCCCAGTCCTTTTAGTCTCCCAGACACCCAGGGCTGGCCCCAGGTACAACCAAGCCTCTGATGACGGCTGCCCAGCCATCCAGGACAGGCCTGAGGTGCAGGCAAACCTTGGATGGTGGCTTCCCAGCTGATGCCTGAGGCGCAGGCAGATGGCTGCTGCTAAGCCTCAGATGGTGACTGCTCAGCCACCCAGGGCCTCCCCAGGTTCAGATAACCAGGGCTGGCCCAGGCTGGCACTGCTCCTTACTGCTCACCTTCCCCTGATCACTGTGTCGCCTCCCATCCCTGAGGGCTCTCGGACTATGAGAGGGGCAGGCCGGGTTGAGGGACCCCCCTTCCAGTGCATGAATTTTCATGCACCAGGCCTCTAGTATTAAGTATAATCTTCTCAAACTTCAGTGAGTTAAGTATTTGGGAGAGGGACTTTTGGTACTGGAATCCTCTGAGCTCAGCATAAGACCCCATAGCACCACAGAGAGAAAACAGAATGTGTGCTGTATCTCTTGCTTCTCTTTGTAAGTCACTGCAAATGGATGTGTCTGGGGAAATGTGCTATCCTTTTCTTTGAGGTTTCTAAAGAGCTAATAGTACAACCTGTTTAATAAGCATATATATATATTTTTTTGGTCTGGTGTCTATTCCTTGATTGACCTACGTATTTTTAAAAAAAAGAAGTTCGCTCCTCTGCCTGTGTGTGTGCGCATATGTATCCCTTCCCTAGGCTCTGCCTTGGCCACAGTGGACATAGATGTGAAATAAAGAATAAAGGAAATTTCCTTTATTTCCTCCAAAAATAAACATCTTTTCAAATAACCAACATGTTTACTTGTCATGTCTATAGATTAGGGTATGAAAAAGAAGAATAAGGACTTAAGCTCATAGTCCTAGTTCATTATCAATCTCCCATTGCTTTTGTGCCTTCAGTCTGATCCATGGCCACACAGATGGTCCTCACACCCCTCTTATCATAGCAGGAATCATAGCTCTTGAGCTGTGAGAGTTCATCTTTATAGGGTTCTAGTCCTAGGGTATGGAGTTATTCATTCTCCCTTTCTGCATTAAGACAT